GGTTGGTCTGGTTGAAAATAGAATTTTGTAGCTGTGTTTTTCTTGTTTATGCAAAGTTAATCCATGCGAACAAATTTCGAAACGTTTTAGCCGTTTAAATGGTACGTTGGAGAACAGTATGTTTCTTTTTGTTATGTTTTCATTTTCGTTCGATCGATTTTATAGATTGTTCGAAGAGCAACAAGTAGACTGTGAAAGTGTTATGAGCAACATATAATAAAGTAAAAGCTCTGATAATGTTTGCCCCAGTAATGAAGGCTGTAAGTTACAGTCTACTTCTAACTTCCGTTTTTGTAGCTGCATTCATAAAAATGCGAATCCATGGAAATCTACTGGTTAATATTGAATTTCTCGTGGAATCAATGATCGAGTTTCTCGAATTTCCTTGGGAATAAAGGGGAATTACGAGACTCGTTATTTGTAGATCGCGCGATACGGAGTGAATGTTAAGTGATAATGGAACAATAAACTCTGTTTACGAGTAACTGACGTTGATTCAGTTATTCGATGTATAATTCACGGAGGCTCTAAACCGACCAATTAACATCTCACGTTGAAAGTCGGAGGAAATGTCATCAAAACGGAAGTTGCACATCAGTTGCCTACGATCAACCTTGTCGACCTACTGCATTCTTAATCCTTATAGGACTAACAATAAGCCAGTGGTTCTCAAACGTTCTGTTTCATCAATTCTTATTTGACAATTATTTTCTACAACATAATTATAATTCTTATTTGATTTATTTATATCATCTTCAAATATTCCAAATTAAATTGTCCAACAGTAATTGGAAATAAAAGAAGATAAGGAATGAATAATTCAAGTAGCCTTGTTGTTTGCTTGCATCCACAGCTGTGAAAGCGTTCGACACTGAGAAGATTGATGTAAAACAAATTTCGAGCGTACCGAGAGTATTACTTAAATGATTGAGAAAGTGTATAACAGTTATATTTAGCTTTGTAATTACACGTCATACCGCAGACCTTTTTTCCACTAGTAATTTATCTATCCTCGACAGTCGACGTGGAATAGTTCTGCAGCAGTTCCCCTAATGAATAGTCGACGCATCTATTATAGGGTAATTACCAAGTGGTAATGCAATAATAGTTTAATCACAGCCCTTCAGTGTTTGCCAGAACTAGGGTTTCACCTCAGTGAAAGTTACTCGACCTTTTCTCCATCGTATTCACCGCGCGAAGTGCAATTGAACAATTATTTCATGTATTTTTTCCGGTTTCGGGATTAAACTCTATAATGATCGAAAACGCGGACCACTACTTTCTCACGTGATTGCCGATTTTTCATGCATTTATCTCGAATAGGAGTTTTTGAAAACCAATGAAAGCGTTAATACGTTTATATTTCATACGATTAATTCCGTGGCAACTATAAAATATTATTACTGAACGCAATGAATATTATTAATATTATATATATATATATATATATATATATATATATATATATATATAAGTAAATAAATAAATCATTTTGTGCGCCAAATACTTCGTTTCCCTGTATAATCTTACTCGATCAATGCAATCAATATTTAATTAAAGTTATTCCGACGGAAAAAAAAGGTATCGCCAGATCGTGCGTTAGAGAAAGCGATCCACGGTCTTTGCGTGGATAATATTTCCCGTGATTATCTAAAAGCGACCCGTTCTAGCATCTTTTTTTTGCAGTCGATCGGTTCTCTATGTTTCCCCTGCGGTTGGTCGCCACTCGTCACGAGAATTATTACAAGAGGCACTTTGACACAAAAGCCCCGTTTTCTCTTACTTTCCTGCTTCATCGCTTGACTAGTCGTGCCACGCATCGCGATGCTGAAACATCAGCGGAAACGATCAGCACGCACCACGTCCGCGTGCGTCGCTGGTGATTCTTCTTCAAAGAACGGACGACGCTGAAGGGACTCGTTCAACGCTCACCGGTATCTTTGCTTTGTGCATAGAAATGTGATTATTAATTTCTTTCCAGCTGTTAAGAACCTTAATAGCTCCCGCAGAATGTATTTTAAAGACACGCCGATTTAATTTATAAAGTTGAGTTATTTTATCGTGGAAACTATTACATAACAGTTGATTAAATTTTATTTGAAGGACACGTACCAGATATCAATTATATTCTGAATGTTTTCAAATAAACATTATGTTTCTTATATAGTTTATATAGTAGAATTCTTTATTAAAGGATACACAATTTTGTCGTTGGCAACAATCTTGTAGTTTTACTAGTTTCTCAAATATTTGATATAATAAATGTCTATTTCACAACTTTGAATGCACAACAAGCGTCGACAAGAAGTATTTACCTACATATCACAAAAAAGTAAATTTTTAAAACAATTGCTATTTAAATAATGAACCTTCATACGCCTGCACCAAAATTTAGAAACAAATTACAAAATTTTAAAAATCTTTCATCTGGGAGTAATTGTGTAAGTAAAAGTTGACTTTAATAACGCTCCCGATACATGAAAATTGCTTTCCATTTCCGAGTCACCGGAGCTTATTAAATCAGTCTATCAATTCCCCCAGCGTCATCGAATTACGAGTTCCCCAGTATTGTACGCAATTTCCTTTCGCGATTCGCACCGATAAGGATCGTCAGCACACAAAAACCAGAGCAGCGCGCGTCGAAAGCCGCGCGAACCGCGGAAGCGGTTTATTCGCCTCGCGGGAGAAACGGACGGATATTAGGTCCTAATAACCTGATTCTCGTCACTTTATTCTCGTCGCGCGTACACGCTCGGACACGTATTTTTCAGCGTTCCCCAAACGGCGCGTGTTTCGAGCCATACCAATCGTTCGTGCAGTGAAAAGTTCAGCAAATGGTATCCCAAAACAAACGAAACAAAAGATACAAATAGATTATCTTTATTAGTCTTTAAAATAATCTCCATCTGCCACGGCACTCTTTTGACAACGTGTACGAAGCTTCTGGAAACTGTTAGCAAAGACACTTTAGGAATAGATCGCAGAACAGCTGCCGCACTGATTGACTCACATGTTTGCAAACTTTTTACTTTTTATGGAAATCGAGTCGATTATGGATGATCCTTCTCGATCATCCACTGTATTACCCTAATCTAACATTTGTGGACTTGTTTATTTTGGTGGACTGAAAAAGGTTATCAATGGACATGTTTCGTGGATGTGCCGGATTATTGATAGGGATGGGGATGATATGAGGATTAGTGCCGTGGATAGTGATAATTTTAACACTAGAACTACCAGACGGGTGAAAATGTCCCATTCCTGATTTCTTCTTTTTGCAATCATTAAAAAGGTAACAGATGTTTCTCTGAGAAATTATTAAAGAAATTGATTACGCAATATGCAAACTGAATTTTAAATCAATTAAAATTTCAATAGATGCACTCTTGGAGTTTCTATAGGGGAATTTCAAAAAGTCAATGTAACTGCTCGGTAGTTTTAGTGTTAAAAGCCAATGAAGATAATTTATTTGTATCTTTTGCTTTTGTTTTCTGTTATCATTCATTGAACTTACCAGAGATACCGTCTATTCCGCGTCGTCGCCATGGTCCGTACCGAGCGGAACGTGAACTGCCGCCGCGCTTTTCTAGCGCGTGGTGATTAATTGGTCGCAGATGTTCCTCCTTTGACTCCGTTTTCGACTTCTCTCTTTCGTGGAAGCGAAAACTGATGAAATGCTCGGTGTTCCGGCCGTTTCCAGATCGTCGGATAAGCGACTCCATAGAAAACACTTTATTTCATGCAGTAATTATGTGCCAGCCGCAGCGTGCTTTACGTAGTCCCGCGTTGCGTCACGAATTCCGTTGCACCGGGGACTTCGCGTTTATCGGAACTCCGTTTGCCCGGATTAATTTTATCACTGTCCTGATTTACTGAGCGACTGTAATTATCTAAACCCCCGTGGCGTGTTTTCAATAGAAATCACGGACATCTCGCTAACTGTTCATTATTCGATGTTATTGCTTTGTTTCATGAGTTGGTTGATCGTGAATTGGTTCTTTGAAATTGGAATCTAGAATGATAGAGTGTTCTTTGTTATCTGTTAATAAGTAGTGAGCATGGGAAATGATTAACAAATTATTTCCTCGGAAAATGGTTGTTCAGAGTGTATTTGTTTCTAACAAGATTCAGCGTTCAGTATTTGTGAATAAGTAGGTAATTGTAGAATAGAGAATTGGGTCAATTACTAACATTCATAATTTCTTATCTGTTAATAAGTACAAATAAATATTCTTATTAGGTTTGGTTTTTAACCAACAGTATTTTCAGTCGATTAGTGAATTCCTTGGAAAGCAAATATTGTTAATGACATTGATACAAAATGCAAACTATCGGCGCGTTTCGGTATTTTAACCGCGAACAAATCATAAAATCAATCCATGCGCGACGAGCAAGTTTGGAGAAAGGGACAGAGAAGGTGGAACGTGATTGCACTTTCGAATGCAATAAATTACACAGATTATCGGAGCAGTTTCGCGTGTCGTTACTGTCGCGGAGCCGTGGCGGCACGTGAGAGAGTCCACGAGGAAGTGAAACAAGCGAAAACAACGAAGCACGTTTTACACGCGACAACACCTGACATGCAGTTTGCGTTTCGTGATCGTGTACGGGATTCGTTTCGGTGCCCGAGATGTGTCATTTCCACTCAAAAAACGTTTCTCCGACGTTTGCGCGATTTCTACGTGAGATTCTCTTCTTTTACAGGAAGGTGTAAAATACTTAACGTTTATGATCTAAACAATTTGCAGGAAATGACTTCTTCATCCGAGAATCGTGATTTTACACTGTATATCCTGAAAATTCAGTGGACTGTCACTATTTTTGAAAATGTAGCTACGAATTAAATTAAAACCATAAGGCTCTGAATATAAGAACTTCCGTTAAATAGAAATATCGTATAAGACCCTTCGCTTAAGACTCTATTGAGTCAAGAATAAAAAAGAAAAATAACTGACAAATCATAGATGATCTTACTATCGTTTTTCTATTTTTGTTAACAGTGTGGCAACGGCGTCGGTTCCGCGGAGGGCGTCATCGGCAGCGTTAGTGGCGGAAACGGCGGCAGCGGCGGTGGCATGGATTGCATGCCCCTGCGGCCGGGCCCCTTTCACTATTTGATAAGCGAGCAGGCCAAGTCTTTGGTGGCCCTGCAGGAGCTGCAGAATGAGGTCGGAGCTCTACTCGAATTCCGGGACCTCGTCATGGAGACGTTCCCAAACCTCCGGCACAAGATGGCCGCGACGGCGTCCGCGGGAGCGTCCGTGATATCGTCCACCTGCGCGCAGAACTCGCACATCCCTTTGCCACTCTCCAGCCCGTCGTCGCGAAGGATCAACGAATGGGAGCCGGGGAAGGTTAGAAGACGGATACCGAGGGAAGGCGGCGAGTCCTCGTCATCTTCCTTGCCTAGAAGCCGTAGTAATTCCCACAGCGGCGGTACCAAGAACAACTGCAGTGCCACGGTCCAGGATTCCGGCTTCAGCACGGAGACGTCGTCGAAGGACAGCGCGTCGACGGCGATAGCGCCTAGACCGAACAGTCCTCGTCCGGCCATCCTGGACGAGGCGGAGGACGAGCTATGGAATCTCTTAGACGTGATCCATCGGAAAGGGATCAGGCTTAGAGAGGAAGTGGAATGTCTTCAGGGTCGGTTGGAGAGCGTAGCGCCGGAAGATTTAGCCTCGACGGATATCCTGGACGCCGTGAAGGATATCGCGTTCTTGGGTGGCGATAGAACGGCTGGAATAGACGCCGAGGATGGCAAAGAGGACAATTCTCAAGTGATAGCGCTTAGAAGAGAAAAGGAACAGCTGCTGGATAAGGTAGCTGAGTTAGAGGCCGAGACGATATCGAGTCGCGCGAGGGCGCAGGAGCTGCAGTCGGAGTTAGCCGCGCTGTCCGCGCTGAAGAGTGGTCTGGAGGATAGGCTGAGGGCAGGACTGAACGATTCATCCTCAGACATCCTCACGCCCGGTGCACAACGGCTTCAACCGATCGCTCCCGTGGTGTCTTCGCCGAAGAGCAACAACGTCAGTAACATTAAGAGCAAGTCTTCTGCGTTCGCCTCGGTGGCGACGTCCGCGAAGGCACACAAGAGCCGCTTCAGGACGAGGACTATCGAGAAAAACGTGTTGCTGGATGTCAACGCTCACAACGACGAGCTGCGAGACATCGATGTCGAGGCGAACGTGAAGGAGAGAAGAGCGAGGCTGGGCGCTTTGGATTCTGTCCTCGTGTCGCCTACCAGGGTTGCGCACGTCAAGGACGTCGATTCGAAGAAGATCGCTGCCATTCTACGCGAACACTCTCCGCTTGAGCTGCAGCGGCATTTAATCACTACTACCGTCCATAATCAGGTATGTTTATTTACATTGCAACTTACTTGGACTGATAGATGATTCGAGTATGGTCAGTGTTCCTCTTAATCGCGTCCTGTATCTTTTAATCATGAGACTTATTTAATATTTTATAATCGAAGATGAAGCTTTGATGAAATAATTGAACTAAAGAGGATTCGGTGTAGAAAATAGGAATTGATTCCTTGGTTTTGAAACCTAGAGAAACTCCCTTAAACCTTGTTACGAATAACATGAAGGATGTATAATCTATGTCCATTAAAATGAAATCAGGCTATGTATGCGTCGATAAATTGCAGGTCCTACAAAAAAGGTTATACGAAGTACAGAAGAGCACGGAAACCCTATCCGGGCGGCTAGATAAGGCGCGCGAGGAGAACGACGACTTACGTTTTCAGGTAACTAACCCATTAACGTATTCAGTAATACAAAAGATGGTAAGAAAAGTATATATTCAAATTTCAAAAGAATTATCGCAATAACCCAAATATTTCTACAATCGTGTTCTTTCACATTCCAGCTAGAAGAAAGAAATATCGAGTTAGAGGGTACGCGGGCACGGGTCCGCGTGTTAGAGCGGCTTCAACAACGTCCTCCAACTGAGATCGATCCGGACGTGGATGCGGATCAGCCTAGATGCGAGCAGGCCGGTCTGGAGCCTGGCAGCAGCACGGAGTCGGCTCGCGACCACCATCAAGCAGTGGAAGTAAAGCCGTCACCCCGTCGGCGTCCTAGTCGTATACCTTTGCCCGGTTTGACGTCGAAGGCAACAGCACCCAGGCCGCCTAGCCACGGGAGGAACGACAGCAAAGAGTCGTTGAAGTCGCTGACGAGACCTCCGCGCGATTCTAGTCGTGACAGCCACGGTGGCAAGTCCCTATCGAAAGCGCGCGACTCGAGCCGGGACTCGCTGGGCAACAAAAGCTTGACGAAGAATAGTAGCAACGGGAGCGGCGGCGGCAGCGGCGGTGGCGGTAGCAATGGGAACGTGAACGTGAACGTGAACGGAAACGGGAACGGGAACGGAAACAGCAAGGAGACGAACAGGGAGTCCCTGAACAGGTCCCTGCCGCGTAACAATTCCAGCCGAGACTCCTTAAACAAATCCTCCTCGCTGTCCCGCGCCCGTGACTCGCTGGAGTCAAACAACCTCGGCACGTCCTCATCCCCGGGGACGACTCCTCCTCGACGACCGCCCGCTCCTGCACGCCGTTCCTACAGCCTGGCCCGCGCGTCAACGTCCATTGAGTCCGAGAACGGCAAGGTACGACCTGTAAAGCAATTCTTTTGGACCAGCTGGCTGAAGTCGTCGTTGTCCAATGGCCCGGTCTAGTAGAGCGCCCACGTCGTATCCTCTTCTCCAGGACGGCCGAATAGTCGCTGTTAGGGATATCTCTGCTGCTTCTGTAACCGCGCCTCTTCCCACCAACGTTCGAAACTCCCGTCTTTTGTCACACGACATCCCGGATCCCGTGGTCTTCTTCTTCGACCGTCTCGACACGCTGATTCGTGCTCACCGATTGTCCCGTTTGTACGCGGGACAGTGTTAAAAAGAGACGCACGTGCAACGTGCTGGCCGAATCGCGAGAAATGGAACGCTCGAATTTTTTTGGTAGAATCGAATGTACAACGTTATCGTTTACGTTGGCCTTGAAACGTTTCAACGATCAAAGTCTTCTTACGCGATAAAGAGAAGATCAATTTAAACTTCGTTTATGGTCACGATCGTTAGAGCCTTAAAACAAGGGTCCAACCGTATAAAAGATTTCTTAATCGCAGATGAATGAAGAATCTTTAAAATCATTTCTACGTCAGTTGTAATACAATGCAATTGTACCAATTAACGAAAAACATAGATGACCTTCAAACGACCTTGAAAATGACGTCATTAGACGAAATATTTTTCTGCTTGCTCCCTCGAACATTGCAACCTTCCTATTTCTTATATTTTCAACCCTATCAGAGACAATCGAGCGTTCCAGTTTTCATGATTCACTCCGCACAAAGAAAAGAACATCACCACTATCGGTGATCACAGCGAATTCGGACACGTCTACGTCGCCGATATAGCTGCCGCTAGTCCCACCCTCGTCTTCATCCACCATGCCCATCATGCAACCGATCGATCACGACTGATTTTGGTTCGAAACGACCCTACATTCTCAACGATTGTTCCTTTTGATCCATTCCTCCGTCTTTCTTTCGTCGTTTTCAGTCGTGATGATGTCCTGTCCCGTGGCGCCATTCTCGCGGCCACACACTACGCATATCTACACACGAACACACACATACGAATACACACAAAACACACAAGAAATGGAACCGATGCGATCCTCACCTTACGGCGTCGATCATTTCTGAAACGTTTTGTTCATACTCTGACGTACACAGAGACGCTCGACCGACACTTGCCTTAAAAACGACGAACCGCCCGACGGTCCACTACCAAAATGTCTGATCTGGAGCGCAGGCGAGCGTGCGTTCGAGCCCGTCCCCGGCGGTCCAATAAAGAAAATGGCCCCTACTCGCGTGCCGCCGGTTTTTCTCGTAAGTTATGCTTCTTTTATTATCATTTGCTTCGATGCTTCTTCCTGGATGTGGTGAGCTATGAGCCTGTTTTGTCTTTGTTTTGTTTTATCTTATTTTATTTTATTTTTTTTTACTTAATTATTATCATCATTATTATTCTCCTGGTCGCAATCCTTCTATCGTCTTTGAGTAGCAGTTACATGTTAGTAGTTAGTTACCCTTTCACGTAAGAGTTTGGCATGCGCACGCACCCCGTAGTCAGCTTCCCACTGAGATCCACCTTAATTATTGGGACTGAGTTTAATTGCAATCTCCTACTCTCTTCATATAATTCGCGGAACATTTTGCGGCGTTTCTATTGGGCGGTTTTTAACCCCGGACACGCGCATAGATTTTTATAATATTGTTTCTATTGGAAGCGGACGTTTCGCGGGGAAGCCGAGGCGAAATTGTACCAGTTGTGTTTGGGATACTTCCCAGATTCGGACAAGAGGATTTCACATATATTTAAATAGAGAAAAGAGATTATATTTGAAACATTACCACGCTGTCTGATGAATCTTTCTGTTTCTCATTCTTTGTAGCGGTAATCGTAACTCAGAATTTTATTTTTTCTATTTATACTGTAGTGGCATTCTATATATTTACAATAGGTGCATGTGGATTGGTGTACGGAGCTTCGTCGAATCTTGTGAATCCGAAATTTCATTGATTTATTAATTCTAATTTACTATAAATATACTATGGGACGGATAATCCATTAAACTATAAAACTTATAGAACGGGTTCACGCAAATCAACTAATTTACAAATATTCGTTTAAAATGAATAATTGACTGCAGCAAGAAAAATTTGTCCGACATTAAAGAAGCAAGGAAACATTTTATTGATTACTATTCAAATGTAAAATTACTTCTGCCTTGTCACAGGGTTCGACAGGTCGTTTCACCAGAAATCGAACATGGGTGGATGATTTTCCCCGACTGTCCTCACGCCATTCCCCTTTTATCGTTGTACGACAGCGTCCACCAGCAATTTACGAATTCAGAAAATCGAATAGATATCAATTTATTTAACACGCACGCCCACCAACACGAACCGTTACCGTAAATGTTCACACTGTACCTTAGCAGTGCTCTCCTTGTCCCGAGTGCCCACATTAATCTTCTTTTCGGTTTGTTTGCTCTTTTCATTTGCTCAAATTTGTTCTTATTTGCTAGCGTATGCTTGTATGCGGAGATAGTCTCGAGAGCCATTACGTCGACTCGGGAGTCGCACTTATAATGATTGATGCAGAGGAAAATGAATCGACCACACGCTTACCTGCTTGGCATTGCGGTTCATTGTCCATCTCACGTGTCCAGTGTTGCGTGTCACTCTGCGAATCAAGTACCGATTACTCGCGACGCCGAAATTTCACGCGTTCGTTTAACTCGATCGTTCATTTAGACATTTTTCAGTGTCGATCGAACGTTACTATTTTTTTTATTAATCTTCCGGAACTGTCTCCATTTTTTTTTTGCTTTTTTCGGTCGATGACATATCGAATTTGATATTGAGAAAAATATAAAGGAATGGCGATGGAAATTACATTGAATTAGATATTTGTTCGAAGGACACGTTTATTCCATTGTTAATTGACTTTTATGCAACGTTTCTATTTTCATAAGATATTTAACAAAAATCAAAATAAGAGGAAAATTTTCTCGTAGTCAAGGTGAAGTATAAATACTGTCAATTTTTATCCGGGTACACGTTTCTTTGTATTAGACAGACCCGCAAGTGTTCAAATGCATGAAGATCCATTCATAAATCGAATCTGTTCAAACACCCAATACATTTCTCATGTTCAAGGTCATGTGCCGAAGAACCCAAGTACAATAGAAACTTCTATCGCCATTGTAAACACGTGAAGTCGCAATCATAATCATTCCATAAATTACCAGCACAGTAGGTAGTCATTAGTAAATACTATATACCTACCTACAGTAGCACAAGAAAGTCTTTGCACGTCCATTTTCCGATAACTTGATGCAAAAAGAGAATGATACATTTATATAATCCAGATTCTCTAATACATTATTATTACAAAAAAAAGAGAGCTCTATAATAATATATTCCAAAATCCGGATTATATTAATGTGTCATTTCTTCCTCGCAAAGTTGTCCAAAAGAAAAGTGGAAAGTTCAAACACTTTTTCTGAGCCGAGGTAGATCAAAGACCGTGTACGAGCACTGATTATTGTGGGGTATGGTTTGTGTACTTTGCCTCAGAAAGACTGCCGCGTGAACCGCAATATCACCGTGTACCAAACTGCGCGCAAAAGTCTTCAAACAGAAAAAAAGAATGTCACGAGAAAATCCTCGAGCCCAGTAATCAGAGCTGCTGACCCGATGAACTCTAACGAAATCCGGTGTTTTTCAGACGTGCACCGAGCCACCGAGTTCCTGGTGCTCAACGAACGGTAGCTTCCGGCACAGCGACTCATCCTTGTACCCGGACTCGCTGAACCAAGAAACGTCGTCGATGACCGGGTCCACCAGAGTTGAGTTCATAATCGGCTCACCTACCAGGCGTTTCCGTCAGAGCTCCGTCTGGCCTCATCGTTACTTCGACAGCATCGACTCCACCGCGATGCTGCCCGAGAGCTTACTGACCGACGAATTCTCCCTGAACCACGGCGAGGCGCTCGCCGAATGCGATTCCCTCGACTGTCAACCTTTGATATTCAAAGCGCTCGACGGCTGATACCTGACGTTTCTTTCCCTCGCGGATTCGATAAAATGAAACTAAATAATCGACACTGGGGGATGGAAATAAAATCGAGTTGCAGGCGTTCAGTTCGCGAGATCTTTGGATACGAAATTGGGGTTGTTTGCTCTCCTGGTTGATACTGTTCGTTACAATCATCACTAGACTGCGGATCTTGAGTTCAGTTTTATAAATTGTGAGTGGAAGTTTCATGATTATGTAATGGGGACGTCAATTCGAACATGTTGATTTTAGGGACGTTTGGCATACGTTTTAAGGATTGGAAAGTAGTTGATACATATTTTTTTACTGATTTCTATGTTTGTGTTTGCGAACATAGCATCCGAAGTTAGGACATCGTAGAATGTCCGAAGAAGTGATGGAGATGGAATAAAATGTTCAATACAGAAATTGTTCGTTTTTGTATGACGGTTGAAGCATTGAACATTTTTGTCACATGAATGAAGTGAACATAGATATCAGTGTAGTAATATGGATTGAGTATTTTTCGATATTCTATAGGTGTGTCAAGTTTCGTTAAAAACTGGGATTCCAAGTTATACTGATTTAAAGTGTGTATTTCATTGTGTATTGAAAACTCGCACAAAGTACGAATACGTAGAATCTGCAGTCTAATCATTGCATAGGGAACATGGCTGTCAATATTATTCAAACTTTCTGTATTGAAAATCTGAGTTCGAATTCTGTATGGAAAGTTAGACTTTAACGAGTTACCTTTACACGTGGGTTATTTGTTAAAGTAAGGTACAACCGACAAGGAAACATTTCTCTGGGAAAATATGACTAAGACGTATAAAAATTATTTTTCAATTTTTGTTACGAACTGTATGACAGCAAAAGCAAATTAAACCTTCTAATTCATCTTTGCTGAAATTTTTCCTGCGTTATATGTTTTTCATTTGTACACTCTGTAGGAAAAATCATGTCATATTTCAAACATTTGCCGCTTAATATTAAGCATCGTATGGCCTATCGAACAGAATCGCTAGATCACTACGTACTCAATCAGTGTAGGGATACTAGACATCATTCATATTTTAAGAAAGAGACGTCAGGGACATAGAGTTGCAAATATTTTCTTTAGAAGATGATGTAGTCCTTTATTTTATCATTTCTTGTTGGAAATGGAACAAGAAATGTTTGCTATAGGCAAGGTGAAGGCATTGATATTTTGAGAAATATGAAGGATGAATGATAACAGAGTACCAACATTCTTTTATACGCGCAAAGAGAAATGAATAAGCGAAAGAAACGTACGTGTGCGTTATTTTTACAATAGCCTATCGTGTCATCTCATGCACCCGATTTTTCGACTTCGTTTTGCATTTTGATTGCATTTGTGTCATCATACACTTATTCTACGCAACTTATCAATCAGACTGTACTTTATATCTCGCGCACTGTGGAATTTTGTATCATAATACTGTCTATTCAACAAACGGACAGGTTCGATTTAATCATGATTAAGTTGCGCCGGAAAGGGATGTGTTTTTGTATGCGTATGTCGAAATCTATACATGGTTCACCGTTGTGTGTTCACTTGCATTGTCGAACAAGGAATATGTCGAACGAAGGAGTTGCACGAAATCTTCTTACTTTGTAAAATGTTTGACAAAATTTTATGAATGTTTGACGAATCTGTATCTTGTCGAAAATCAATGTACTGTTGACAATTATGCATTTGATTGTTTTTCAACGTTTCTTATGTGACAAATTAACAATTAAGCTTCTGTTTAGCTTAATTATTGTTATAAAACAGATGAGGTATGTATTGAGTATGAAGTTTGGTTAAAAAACAATATTGATTTTGTATATGTTTGCCATGTGTGAACCCTCGGTTATATATACACAGATATATATACATAACTTATTATTCATGTTGAATACCCCTACAGTATCAAGAAAATTTATTGAATAATATTTCATTATTATCCAGAGTTGAGTGTGATTTACATGAAATTTTACTTTTATTTATCGTTAATGAAATTATTAATGGTAATGAGAAAATGCTCCCCCTTTTAAGTATTTAATTTTTTATTTATAAAAATCATTTATAAAGTGTTCGCTCAACTCTGACACAGTGAGTACAAAATTTCTAGTATTTTTTCAGAAGTATCATTTGTATTATACTTTTATAGATTGTATCCACGCAATGATCATGCTTACTTATACAATAGACTTCGTGTATAGTTTTGTTCATAAAACTTTCGATTTCGATTATTATACTTCATGCCCAATCGACTAATGAGGTTTTTGATGTTTTTACTTCGGTGAATTTTAGACTTGTATCTCTGTATTGTAAGACTGTAACTATATGCTGATACAAGAAAATAATTTTATTAATCTTTTCGTGTAACGATCAATTTAAACAATTTTCTTTGTTCAGATTATTGATTTTTTTACATTTTTTAAAATTATAAGCCACTTAAGCTACTTTTTCATATTAAACGAAATACAATACTCTTTTTTCTATCTCTTGTAACGAATATTATGTTTATATTGCATGTTTGGTCTTGAGAGAAGCGTCGGCAATTGACATTTCTTCTTTTTTCTGCTCATAAGAAAAAAAGATCACCAAACTTCGCAAGTATTAATTTTTTTTCACGAGGATCATAAATTTATTATCCTCGTGTCTGATTTAAAAATCGAATATGTATTACAGTTTCTCTAATTTTGAAATTATTGTTGTACTATAAGTTCACGTATCATGGTATTTGTTACATGAAAAATTGTCTACATTTTAGTTAAAGTTTTTTTAAAAAATTCACCACGAAAAGGTTGGTAGCAATCAGCGTCGTTATCTATTATATCATGACCATTGTTTAGCACATTCCATGCTGCGAATCCGAAGAATTACAATCTCATATTCCATGTAGCATTTGTACCTTTCGTTTAAACTTGCGTTTTAATTAATATAATTTATTTATTGTGTGCGTGTGAAGTGCAGGGACTACTATCGAACGTTCATAGCGAAGAACATTTACCAGCTATTCTTCGACGTGTTAACATTATTGAGATTTTGTCTACGAATACCGAACGAGACACGAGTGCCACGCGAAAGCGGACAGAGGGTTGTTCGATCACGTGATTAGAATTTCTAGAAGCTTTTTCAGAAACACACATATCACGCGTGGTGGCTTGAAAGCGTATCTATCTTCGACAATATACTTACAAAAATTTGTAATCTATCGAATCTTTCCTTAATCGGATCAATAATAGGGAATATCTAAATTTTCGAAACGATACATGTATGCACATTATAAATTGGACTATTCGAAGCTTCGAAGGATATTGAAATGAAGTTCATTGTACTGTACGATCGTCTAGGGTTCATGGATTATTTAAAATGAAAGTATACATCTAGATATCTCTGCAGTGTTTAGGTATATGAAGATATTTTTAAAAAACAAGTTATACATTGTTATATTTGTCCCTTTTAAATTAACAATTATCGTCTTAACAATATTTCTGTACGTCAGCTACAGAGATATCTAGACACTGTGTATCTTTTCAAACTTTACGTCTTGCGTATTTATAATAAACTGTTTGCAGTAACAGTTTTCTAATTAAATTTCATATAATTGATTTGTATATAATATGTGTATAAATAGTACTTTATACATTGTAATATAAAGAATGAACCAAAAATTTTACAGATACTTTACGAAGATCATAGATATTTCGAATTCGTCGAAATCGTATTAAGATTTCTCCGAGTCTCTCGAAGCTTCGAAAATCCCCTAATATTCGAATCTAAAAGTATACACATGCTCAATGAACAAAAAGAAGAAACCAAGAATACGCGTTTCTGTACGAAAGAACAATGAAGAAACCGACGAGAAGCGAGCATGGTTTTTATTGTAAACGTATTCATTAGCGCGAGCAGGTTGCGGGGTCACCGGATTCCATTAGTCGAATCGTAAAGTGTACGGTAAATCGACGAAAACTACTACGTACCACACAGTTCCTTGCTTCAACCAATTTCGTTATTTATAAAAAGAAAGATGGAGAGAGAAAGAAAGAGAGAAAGAGAGAAAGAGAGAATGGGGATTGAGAGGATGGGAGAGAGAGAAAGATGGCGATGATCGTGAAACCATCGAGCGTACGTTTAATCACAGAGCTAAACTTGTGATCCTAGTATAAATAAATAAATAAATAAATAAATAAATAACCGCGCGAACTATGTGATTAACTTAGCTGAACTAATAGGACTGACGGACTTTACTTATTACTTTTAGCGTCTTAAATATTTTTTAACGCGACCACGAAACCAAAATCGACACTGTTCGACTCGCG